TTTTATCATACTATGATTGACATTGAATTCAATTTATTGTTTCCTTTCCAAACGTTTAATTTAATACCTCTTTTCAGTTTTTATACATTAACATTGCTATTACTAATCCATACTGTGACTGATTTTCTCTTATTTTCTATTATCCAGATCAAATATTTTTTTCATTTCATCTTTTAAGTCTTATTCTTTAATTTCCTTATATATGTATATGATTGCTTAGGTACTGTTTATATGTAATGCTTCATATATATTGGGGAGTGTGTGTATGTGTGTGTATGTTTGGATGAGTGGGTGTGTGTATGGGGGTATGTGTCTATAAATGTAAGCATGTATAGTATATGTATGGGTGTGTAAATATCTGTATGTATACGTGTATGTATGCATATATTAATTGGTTTTAAACATTATAAATTTTACATATATGCATATATTAATTGGTTTTAAATAAACATTATAAATTTTTCATATTTTTATATATGTTTTAAAAATTGATTCTTTAAAAGTTTCAAAAAAGAAAGAAAAAAAAATTATTTAAATTACATTTATTTAATCAAACTATGAATTTATGGATTACTTTTTTGAATTTTTGGGATCCCGCTTAGTTAAGATTTACTCTTTTGGAATGCCCCATTATGTAACAAATTTATTGTTTGTTCATAATAAACGAGAATAATTTATGATCTTTTTTCATTATATTGTGCGAGAGCGACCGCGAAAATACTTCAACATTTTAACAGGCGCTATACAAATGCTCGGATAATAATAATATATATAAACTGTTGACAATATTTAGTAGCAGTTAATTTTCCTACCTACCGGGCCAACTGTAAATCTGTTTCTCTAAATTTATTTAGTGTCAACAGTTAAAAAAGTCTTAAGATATAGAATATTTAATAAATCTTCCATAGTGAATTGTCATATTTGTAAATTTATTTTCAACGCTTCGGAGGGGGCCTCCAAAAAGCCAATTACGAAAATTTTTAAATAATTTATTTATTTAGTAAGTGTATAGACGTGATTTTGTGTTTTGATTTTTTAATATATTTATTTATAAATAATCTGTAGTAATGCATATACTTAGTTAGAATAAACGCTTTTTTAAATCCTGACCGAATTGGTAATCCACGTCTATTTTTAGTTGGACATTGACATCATTATACTTGAATGTGATTGGTTGATATAGTTTTTGGACGAGTCGGCTTTTTCAAACTATTTTTGTTGTCTGTTACGTTTGGTTTATTAGAGTGAGTTTTAAATTTTATTTATATATTTATCAATCTCTTCTTTAATAAGTTTAAATATAACTACTATCTTTCAGGTAAGAAAAACAGAAAGTATACTTTCACCCACCGGTACTGACTCACTAGTTTAAATCTAAGGTACAAAAAGTGTTGATAGGTAAAGACGGATATCTGTTCTCCTCGGTTTACGTGACTGATGTTACACCATTTTTTTTTCACTTTTAATTTTTTAAATTATATTTTAAGCCCTGAAGTTAAAATAAATTATTAGAATTAAAACGCTATCAACTTTTAGATAGATACGTGATCATGAAGAGACATCATCCAAGTGGAGCACAAAAACGAAAAATTTTGAAAAGTAGAAGGGAAGAAACCGAAACTCTGTCTGGATCAATGCTTAAATTTGTTAACCAAGTTGTCTCCTCCGCAAAAACCTAACCAGAATCCATTATTGCTAGTTCATCAAGTCAGCAGACTGATTTAGATACAACCGTAGAATCTGACCAAGGAAAAACAACCACCGAAACTGAAACGTCAAACCAACAATGCGAGGATGAAATCAATTTTTCTAGTGAAAATGATATTTTTTTAAATTGTGATGTGGGAAATTGGACAATTCCGTTATCAGATAACATCAGAATCAGTATAGTAAAACTAAAGAGTGAATATTTCCAGAACAAAATGGTCCATTTAGAGTGGTTCAAAAAGTAGGGAAGCAAACAAAGGGTCAAACTCGACAGTTGACAAAGCATTGGTTCTACAAGCATCTTCCAAATGGTGAAAAAGTTCTCAGAAAGTAGATGGTTTATTCTCCTTCCAAAAAATGTTTATTTTGCTTTTGTTTTCGACTTTTTGTTGCTTGTGATAAAGAAAGTAATAATTTTTCAAAATTTGTTACAGGGTTTAATAATTTAATAATTTAATAATAAACTAAACCCTAAGATTTCACATCACGAAAATTCTGAAATTCACTTAAACAATCATGAAAAATGGTAAACATTAGAACTAAGTTTGAATCTTAATAAAACCATTGATGCCGTTCATCAAGAAAATCGAGAACTGGAAACTAAAAAATGGAATGACATTTTACACCGCTTATTGGATGTCACCATGTTTCTAGCAAAACAATATTTACCTTTTCGAGGCCACAGAGAAGATGACTTTTCTAACAACAAAGGCAATTTCTTAGAGATAGTTGAATTAATTTCACACTACGACCCTGTCTTAAAAGAACATTTAGTGAGGTCCAACATAGCAAGGCAGGAAACACGATTTCATATCTTTCCCCTAAAATTCAGAATGAATTTATTTCTATATTGGGAGATACTGTGAAACAGAAAATTATTGATGATGTAAAGCAAGCAAAGTATTACGGGATAATGTTTGATTCAACACCTGATATATCTCACCAAGACCAATTAAGTGAGATTATTAGATATGTTCATATAAAAAACAAAAATGTAGAGGTAAGAGAATCATTTTTAGGATTTTTTCCTCTTGCCAGAAAGAATGCTATTGATATCACACAAAGAGTTGTAAATATTATTGACGAAGAGGGTTTGGACATAAACCTATGTCGAAGCCAAGGTTATGACAATGCTTCGGTAATGTCAGGTGTTCATTCTGGGGTACAAGCCAGGATCCATCAAATAAATCAGAAAATTTTATTTGTACCTTGTTCTAATCATTCACTTAACTTGAGCGGGGTTCACGCATTTGGAAGCAATCCAACTTGTGTAACGTTTTTTGGAACAATTGAAATCATTTACAACTTCTTTTCTTCATCAAATCATAGATGGGATATATTGTCAGAAATAGTCAGGATCACTGCAAAAAAGCTAGCAGGAACCAGGTGGAGTGAACAATATCATACGATGAAACCTGTAATGAATCATTTCAGCAAGTTGGTACAGGCTTTAGAAAAATTTTGTGATCCATCAGAAAATGTAGATACGAGAGGTTCAGCTCAAATTTTAATGAAAAATGTTCAAGATTTCAAATTTCTTGCTTATCTTCATTTCTGGAGCAGTACTCTTGAGGAAGTCAATCATACTCAAAAATACTTGCAAACAGAAGGAATTGGTTTAGATAAAACCATTGAAAAATTAGATACCTTAAAACTTTTTCTGCATGAGAGTCGCGATGAATTGGTTGAAAATGCATTGATATTTTCTACAAAAATTTGTGAAGAAATAGGAATAGCTACAGAAAAATTGGGTCGAAAAAGTCAAAGAAAGCTTATGCCTGGAGAAGAAAGTAAAGATGAAGCTTTAACGTTGAAACAGGAATTGAGACGATCAATGTTTCAGTCACTTGATAATTTTTATCAAGATCTTAGAAAAAGGATAGAATCAATGCAAAATGTATATGTAAAATTTGCAGCCATTCAATCATCACATCTTATTGGAATGGAGATAGAAGAACTTTCAAAGCTGATACCAAATCTGACAGAAACGTTTGATGAACTAGAAGAAAATGAAATGATACCCGAAATTAAACGATTAAGACGTCATCTTCAAGCAGGGAAAATTGAGAAAGATGATGTTAAAAAATGGTCTGCACTGAAAATGTTAACCTATATAATAGAAATTGATTTACACGGTCAGTTCCAAACTTATATTTAGCTTTTAAAGATTTTTTTGACAGTGTGCGTTTCAATTTCTTCTTGCGAAAGAAGCTTTTCAAAATTGAAGCTGATTAAAAGTTATCTTCGTTCGACAATGAGTCAAGCAAGACTTAATGGCTTAGCAATCCTATCAATTGAAAACACAGTGGCGAAAAATATTAACTTTGATGAAACAACACAAATATTTTCTGATGCAAAATCTCGTAAAAAACAGTTTTAATATATTTTTCGATTAGCTGAATCAAAATTTTGTGGCATATGTGTACTGACATGTGTAAATGTTTTGTATCTATGTATATTGCATTTTTGTAAAACATAAAATATAAAAACATTTTTCATTTATTATCAGCCAATTAAAAAATGAAAAAAAGAATAAGTGCCTTATCCTTTTCTGGACATCGGCGACCATCAATTTCCACAAAATATGGACTGTGGTTAGTTTTTGTCGATGAATTTCTTGGCACAGGTGTGGACATATGTTACCATTTCTTTTTGCCATTGCATCAAATAAGCAACCATATGATAGTCTTTGGGATGAACAGCATGGTATGCTTTCGAACTCGATGACACTGACTTCAACGACCAAGCAGATCATTACATCCACCATATAATATCTATGTATATGTAATACATATTATTTATTTGTGAAAGGCATCACAAATATTTCCGCCCCGGGCCTCAAAGGCCCTAGGAACGCCACTGTCAACATATTGCGTTTGCTGCGACAGGTCAATTTAATTGTCGTCGTTAGTGATTTTCGATCCGTAAAACGTGTGTTGTGTTGATTTCATTTACACAATTTACAAACTTATACATTAAAAATAGTGATTCGAAATCACTCTTGAAAATGTTTATGCCTTTTCAATAAATAAGTACCGAATATAACTCATCAATAACAATCCTTCAAATAGTTTTATTGCATGCATGCTTACATTAAATTTATTTTCTATACGCGTTGCACTAATGTTAAGTAGGTACACATAGGGTCTGTGGTTAAAGAAACAGTGATGCAATATGATTTGCAGCGACTTTTTTTTATTGACGCAAATTAAAGTTTGATTAAATCAAAAGTTTTAACAAATTTTTGTTTTTTATTATTAATTTTATTAAAACGATCCATAAAATTAAAAGAATTTCATCAAATGTTGTTAGCATTTTGATCTTGTAAACTTTGCCAATGAACATTTGTGAGACTATTTTAAAAGTTAAATTCAACTAAGCCATTAAATGAATTTGTGAAGATCAAAATAAAATTCACTCAAAACATTGTAAAACTAAAGAAAAGAGTAAAATGAATGAAATTCAAAACGAATTGTACAAAAATCAACCTGCATTTTTCTATTTATATCGCGCGAATTTTAAACTACGGTTTTAAAAAGGTGATTATGATAGAAAAATGTTATAAAAACCCAACAGATGTAATAAAATTTAATAAATCTTCATCCAAACGTTGTCATTAATAAGAAAACATAATAATTTGAATCAAATTTAGCACGTATTTTGATATTTCAATTAAATAATTGGCTATCATTTTAGTTTAATCACTTTTTTGGTTTTTTGTTTGCTTGGCGGCATTGTTTTCAGTGCTGGAAGAGTCTTTGATGACAAACCTTTTCAGTTTTTCAAATATTCCACCGAAGAGAACGGTGCAGAGAATGTTCTCGACCGGCACGAAGGGATCTTTCACGTGAAAAGCCACGTACAAAACGCGGACTAAGATGAACATGGCGACGATGATGAGGTAGAGTAAGGCGGGAGACACATCAATGTAATCGTCTTGATTTAATATGAAAAGAATAGAGGCCAACAGACAAATTTTTGTCGTTCTGTATAAAAATATTTTCAAATTAAAATTTAATCTTTTTAATAAAGACATTCAACGCCATAATAGATAAATATTGTAAGCTCAGAAATAATTTGTTCAGGCTTTATGAAATAAGATCAACTTTTGTGTTACTTCAGCAGAAGTTTTTTTCATTTTATTACATTCTGCCACTTATTATATTCTAGAGGTCATATTAAATACTATTTAGTATTCTTTAATCGTACTAGCACACTTATTTCATATTAGGGTAGAGCAGGGTATAACGCCTAGTTGAGGCAAAACGCACCATACAACATACCGAACATTGTTAATTTTGTTATTTTATTGTTTTTGTTAAGTCGAGGTGAGTTTTAATGGATTTTATCGGTTTTTACTCTAAATTGACTTTAAGTAGGGTATTAAATTATAGCGAATAATAAAAATTATGTTTTGTTTTAATTGGTTTGATTATATGAAATATAAATAGTAAGATCTTCATAATAAATTGAAATTAATTGGACGGCAATATCTTATATCAGACAAAAAAATATTTTAGTCGATCAATTGGGGTAAAACACCCATTACTGTATGAGGCAAAATGCCTTTTAAATAAATTTATATAACTATAGAAAATTTATTATATAATGACGCTAGACTATAGTTGTTATGTTTTTAATAAAGATAATTTTTTATACAGTTAAATTTCAACTGTTCAAGTTTCTCAAAAATATCAAACTAATCTGGTGTCATGGTTCGCAAATATAAGCGAACGTCAGAACGAGGAAAATATAGAGACGAGTAGCTTGCAACCGGCTTGCAAGCTATAGCAAATGGAAAATCTCTGATTCGTGTAAGCCAAGAACTTGGTATTCCAGCGCGAACATTACGTCGGAACAAAAATGAAAAAAACACTCAATCCTGGAATTCTAAAATTGGGACGTGACATTCCAGTTCTTTCTGATTTAATTGAACTTGAAATTCATAACCATATAGGTACAATATATGGAAAAACGTTTTTATGGACTCGCACCTTATGATGTACGACGTCTAGCTTTTGAGCTAGCTGAAACCATGAATATTGATAACCTATTCAATAAATCTGCTGGAAAAGATTGGCTTTCAGGTTTTCTCACACGATATCCTGATCTATCAATAAGAAAACCAGAAGGAACCAATTTGTCACGTGCAATAGCGTTTAACAAACCAAAAGTGATGCCGTTTTTTGAAGTTTACAAACAACTGCTTATTACCATTCCTTGTACCCCTTCACACATATAGAATATAGATGAAGCAGGTGAAACAAATATGCATATCCCAAGTAAAATTTTTGCTAAAAAAAAGTGAAAGAGCTGCAGGCAAAATCACTAGTGAAGAAAGAGATTCAACATCGACATGCATATCGATTTTTGCGTTGTAGACAGATGCAAATGACATTTGTGCGAATTTTTCTTAATTTATGTAATTTATATCCGTTATTTTTCGTTGAAATTGTATCGTTTTGATTTAATTGAGGTTCTAGAATTGGATTACTTTCTCATTTGTTAATTTTGTTTAAAAATAAAAAGTTTGAGTTTCGTTTGCTGGTTGATTTAAGGTCACCTTGACTTTGTTATTGAAGTTTACTTTTAATTATGTCTAAGGGACACTGCATCAAGTGTAAAAGTGGATTTAAGAATACGAAAGAAACTGTGGTGAAATGTTTTTTTTGTGATGGTTCCGTTCATACTAAATGTCTTGAGTATGATGATGAAATGTTACGAATTATTAACAGTGGTAAAAATGTAAAGTATTTTTGTGATAATTACTTGTTGTATTCGGACAATTTGAAATCTCTCAGCATATTGATTGAGAAACAGGATGACTGCAATAGGCAGTTGAAACAAATTATGGATAGCAGTGATGAAATCGGGAGTGGGTTGAAACAGTTTAAGACTTCTGTTGATCAAAATTATGATAAATTGGATCTTATTAAAGCAGATGTTGACTCATTACTTGATAAATCTACTGCTAATGTTAAAAGTGAATTTGATAAATCAATAAATGTTGTCAAGAAAGAGTTTAGTTTATTGTGGACCGATGTTGTGAAAAATAAATTGGAAGTAGTAACTAATGAAGTCAAATCTGTTAAACACACGTTAGATGTATCCAATGATAGCAAAGAACGGGAGAATAACATGATTATATACAATTTGAAGGAATCTGAAAATGCTGACAAGGATAGAGATGTTGTCATGTTTATTTTGATGTCAATGACAGAGAACAAACTTAATGATGCTGATATTCTGGTAATAATTCGTCAGGGACATAGACGTGACGGAATTTTGAGGCCTGTCATCATCAAATTCAGTAATGCTGTATCGAAAATGTTGACGCTGAAGACATCCTTCAGAATTAAGTTGCTTGAAGGTGACTTAAAAAATATTAGGGTAAGTCATGACCTAAGTCCCTAAAAATATTAGGGTAAGTCATGAGTTGTTGGATATTTTTGAATCGTTTCATGTTTGTAATTGTGTTGTTGGTCCTACCCATTCATCTGGTGGTACACTTGATCTTGTTGTTTCGTCTGCTGATTTTCCTTCTTGTGATTACACAGTCTTTCCTAGTAATGTCCATTCTGACCACAGTTTTATCAGAGTTGATTTTCCGTTTGTTCATCGTCGGACGAGGATTGTTAAACGATTGGTGCGATCATGGAATAGGATTGATAGTGAATTATTTGCCCGTCTTGTTTCCCAGTCTTTTGTTGGTGGTCCTTTTACTGATGGTGATCCAGAGATTGTTTATTCAAAATTCATGTCTAGTATGCAGTCAATAATTGATGTTGTTGCCCCGTTGCATTATGTTAAAACCAATAGCTCCCATAATTCTCCTTGGTTTGATGATCAGTGCAGAATATGCAAAAGATTGTGTCGTAAACTTGAACGTGTTTATCGTCATATCCCGAGTGAGGCTAATAAAATTGCTTGGAGAAATGCACTAATGAACAAAAGTTCTCTTTTCTCGGACAAAAGGAATTTGTATTGGAAAAATTTGATACAGATGAATAAGTCCAGGCCTAAATTATTGTGGAACATGGTGAGTAAATTGTTTGATAAATTCTCGGATAGCCATAGTTTGAGTGAATCAATTAATTTTACGCCATCTGATTTTGCTTCTTTTTTCAAGGATAAGATTAAGAGGGTGATGGACTTAACAGCTTCCTCGATTGCACCAGTCTTTTCTCATTGTAGGTTTCGGTCTGATGAGTTGTTCTCTGCGTTTTCTTTGTGCTCGGGCGACGAAATTAAAAAAATTGTTTTAGGTTCTCCAACAAAATCCTTTTCAAATGATTTTATTCCGACTCAAGTTTTTAAATCATATATCGACTTGTTTATTCCATTCTTGACATTTTTTGTTAACTTGTGCTTAAGAACTGGTTGTTTTCCTAATCCTCTGAAACACGCTGTTGTAACTCCTATATTAAAAAAGTCATCCCTTGATAAAAGTGATATTTCTAATTTCCGTCCAATATCCAATCTGTTGTTTATGTCTAAGGTTCTTGAACGTATTGTTTTGGGGCAATTCTTAAGTCATCTGAATAGACATAATTTGATGCCTTTTCACCAATCGGGCTATAGGCAGAACCATTCAACTGAGACGGTTTTAATTGATGTTACGTCTACATTATTTGCAGCTACGGATCAACACAAAGTTTCATTGTTGGCTTTATTGGACATGAGTGCTGCCTTGAT